AACGCAGACATTAGTTAAGGAAGGTGTCTGTTCATTTACCACTCTGTCGTTTCCCCACCAAAACACAACTCCATCCCGTAGAGTCTTCAGGACGTGTGGAGTCCTGCTCTGCTGGCTTGAAGAGTAGGCCTTTCACTGCTGCTCCAGGGAGTCTCTTCCACAGTGTCCTCAACCATCACCATCCACCACATTATGCCTCGCTCTTCTTAATCACATCTCGTTATTCCTGATCGGATTGCTTGTTCCAGCACTTTGCTGCATGCCAAAAGGAGTCATCATGGTGCCTGTGACCTTCGAAAGGAAAGCTTTTGTGCTAAAAGGCCCTAACTGAGAATCATGTCAGGACAGCATGACAGAACAATTAAAACAAGGCATTAATAAACTGGTAGAGTATTCATTTGAGGTCAGAATGACAGTATATAATGCTCCATCTACAATTACTGCTTTAATGCCAATTTGAGTTACTTAATCCTGGGGTACATTTTACCACATTGCATAAAAATGCAACATGTAAATAGCATTATATTTACATTTCCTGGGAGTGAAGAGAAGCAAGCATTCTAGGAAGCGCAGAAGTACAGACTTTCTGTGAAGCATAAAATAGCAGATATAAGCAAAATAAATACTAGTTGTCCATTAAACACTCAGAAGAGAAGAGCTTAATGACTTCTCATTTAAACTCCTGACCTTAAGGAAAACTGCAAAGAATCCTTCACAGTCAAAGTTCCCTCTTATGTGCATCTGGGAATATTTTGGCTATTTCATCTCACTAAGGGAGATAAATTTTCTTTCAAATGGAGTTTGGTTTTTGTGAAGGAAATTTTTTATAACCAAGATCTTTCACTGAGAGATTTCATTCAATAGAGCTTCTGGGATTTTTTTTTGTTCAGATTAGAATTGATCAGTGCCAAAACAGGTGGTCCAAATGCCTTTTGGATCACTAGCTTATAACTCCGTTTTGGGGCTCTGAATTTTCATCTTAATTTAGAAATGGAAACACTAAACTTCCGAAGCTCTGGCAAGATACAAAGACTTCTTTCCCATCTGTAGTTGGAGAGGATCTTATTCCAGCAATGAGGGTATTCCTAGCACATCATAAATAAAAGTAAGAGAATAAAAAATAGGCTGTTTTATTCTGTCTTCAACCTTTGGATTAATTTTTGTCTATCAATAAGTATCAAGGGAAAAACCCTTAGTTCTATTTTCCGTTATGAAGCAGAAAACATGTGTAAACAGAAATGAATAAAACTATCAAGTGAGATTAAAGACAAATAGAAAGGATGCAGTGCCTGTCATCATTCCTTCCCTTCCATGTCCATTCAGCAGTCTCCATTTATGGAACTGATGTGCAGGTTTTGCTAGAGCTGTCCAGTTCTGGAAGAAATTAATTTGTTGACTCAGAGCTCCAATAATAGCAAGAAAGTCCTTGACAAATAATTGTGTACTTTGCCAGATACAGTACAGAGGCTCTTTACTAGAAAAACTCATTTTGCAGTAGTAAGATATTTCTTCCTTTGAAATGCTACTCCATTTATATGAGAAATAAGCACCAGAGGCTTCATCTTCTTTGCTTGCAAATCAGAATCATTCTGGTAGTCACAGAACTGTATGGATTCTGTCCAGCTGAGAAAATAGCTCTATTTTCCTTTCAGAGACTTCAGCTTTTGCAGCCTGTGTGCAGCTGTGTCCCTGCTTGATTCTCAGATTGTCTTCAGTCCCAAATGAGCTCAAGCTGTCGTCCCTGTGAGCTGTGGTTATCAGACCCAGTGTGGACAAATGGACAATAAAAATCCATCCAATTATGCGGTGAAAATTGATCTTCAGATTAGACCTCTTCGAGTGCTACTAGAAGGTCCTACTGAGCCAGATCACTTTCTGGAAGGAAGAATTGTTCTTTTAAAAGAAATCATTATAATTGAACACACTGAAAGGTGTTTTCTAGTAGGCAAAAGCAGAAACAGGTAGTTTGGTGTTACCACATTCGCATCTTTTGCCTTGGATTTTTTTGTTTCCTAAGGTCTCCCTTTGAGAGGTTGTTGTATTCATGTCTTAAAGATCTCCCAGAGAAATCTTGATAGAAACAAGAGGGAATCCTCGATGTTGGTGTCTCAAAACATTTTTTAAGCTTTAATATAGTGTCACACACAGTAAATACAGCTGCATTCATTCAGTTCTAGCTCAGGTAGGATACTTGGGGTAGACCCATTCAGGGAGGAAAAGCTCATTGAGACAGAGATGAGTCTCTGATTCCTGGCTTTAGAAGTCCTCAGAGTTGCCTGTCACTGCACACTAGGACTCTCCCCTTGAGCAGTGTCTTTGAATGTTTGTTCTCACACTCTTTTTTTACACCTCAAGGTATGCAGGGTGAGCAGATGACTCGGTGTCAGGGCTGACGTTTGTCCTTAGGTGACTAGCAGGGCTTTGGTGTGCATTTTAAATAAATTTAATATATCTTAGCAAAGTATAATTGTGTGAGTAAATGTAAGGTCTGGAGTTTGGACCGGTTTAAACTTGGGACCATCCTTAATAATCCAGAGGATTTTGGAATCAGGTTTGCTCTTTGCACAGCAGCCATTTATGAGAATCAGAAAAGGAAATAAAACTCCCATGTCTGAGTTTGTCTCTGCAGTCAGGTAACATGGAATTTGGGATCAATTCTGGAGCCTTGAGTGAGAAGTGCGACAGATTTTCTGTTAATGACAGTTAATACTGTGAGTTAATAGTGTGAGAATGAAAAATTGATTTATGTAGAATAACAGTATTTCTAGTGAAGTAACTCCCAGACTTTTCAGCTAACAGTTCTCCTTCTGGACCGATTAATCACACCTCTGCAATTTAATTTCAAAGAAAATCATAGAATGAATCACAGAAACTCAGAATGGTTTGGGTTGGAAGGGACCTTAAAGATCCCCCAGTCCAACCCCTGCCATGGGCAGGGACACCTCCACCAGCCCAGGCTGCTCAAAGCCCCGTCCAACCTGGCCTTGGACACTGCCAGGGATGGGGCATCCACAGCTTCCCTGGGCAACCTGGGCCAATATCTCACCACCCTCATAGAATCATAGGATGATAAAGATCAATATCACTGATTTTTCTGATGCAGCCTGTGGCAATTTGAATTTCCAGTTCCCTGCTGTCACATCAGACTAGGACTTACAAAATTTGAGATGCTTTCTCCAGTCTAGCTCATGTTAATCCCATGTAATTAGTCCTATTTATATCTGGAACTTGCCCATGCCTAAGCATCTATAATTCCATCTGACACCTTCTGTTATGATTGCAAAAGTGGCAAGTTTTGGATTGGCACCTTTTTTGCCTCCTCAATAGAAGTAACTCAAACCTGGCTCTGAGCTGACAAAGCAGCCCAGGATTTGGTAGCAGAATTTCAGAGGCAGAAGTTTTTTTTCTGTAGGTGAAGGACACCCCCATCTACTTCCCTCTCAGCCTGAACATTTCTCTTTCTGCTATTGAGGAATGGTGCAGTCACCAACGTGAGGTGTTTAAGATTCCAGTCAAACCAGTGCTGTGAAGCTGGTTTTGTCTCTGATAAAGTGAGAGTCAGTTGACTTCAAGCTCTTAAATATGACAAATACGATTCTAGCAAGAACAAGTATACAAACTGCACTGTTTGTTTCTTATGCTCCCCGAGGCCCTTCTCTGCTAAGGAAATAATTTCAGAAAATGTCATATGTTGACTCCTAGAGCAGCATTTCAGTATCTCACATAATAATGTTTAATGTACTTGATTCCCAACGCTGGCAATCTCCCAGTATCTATTCAGGTGCTTATTGCACCATTTGTTATAAGCCATGTTACAGTAACCGCAGGGAAAGATACGATGGGTGCCAAGGTACTGTAATCACTGAAATATGCCACATTGCATGGAAAAATATAGAGTATATTTTAAGAGCACCTTTTAACTGGCAGCTCTGCTACAGGATTCATAAATAGTTGGAAGTCAATCACGGAACTGTTGCGTTCATAGGCTGCAAAATGCCAGGAGCCCTGGGACTCTGGAAATGCGTGTGAGAAATATCTTCTCTCAAGCTTAGGTTGCGACCTAAACGGTCCTGAGAGAACAGATCTGTACTTCTGACAGTGTACATCATCCAAAATCTTGAGATAGATCAGTGTGTTGCAAGCTACCCTACTTTATGTGTTGAAATCAACCCAAAACTTGCTCCTAGGTGCCAAATCCTTCTGCTGAACACAGTCTACAAATCAAAATATTATTTTAATTTATTTTTTCCTTTCCTGTTTACACTGAGAGGTAATTTCTGTAAGAAACTCACTAAGCAGATGCTACAACAGTAATTAGAGCAAATCTCAATTCTCAGCGGTGAGATTGTAACAGAAATAATAATTACCCAGCTCAGCAGATTAAAAAGGGAAGTGGCAAATCCATCATCTCACCTTTCAAAACAGTACCAAAAAATGGGCATTTTTCAGGTATGATTCATCTGCTCTGCTTTAAATGCCTCTTGTGGAGTGCAATCTATAGCCTCCACCAAATACAAAGAGAGTGCAGTGCTCACATTGAGCTCTCTGCAGTGCAGCTCCCTGCTTTGGGTCTGGGGAGCCCTACCTGGCCATTACCATTGCTGTGGGGTGTGAGGATGGTTCAACACAGCACAGTGCTGCCAGGTCTGTACAGGGAGTCTTGGATGAGGTACAAACAGCCAAACCAAGCCCACCCATAGCTCCTTGTAGCACCCAGGAAAGGAGTAAAAGGGAGTAAAAATAAGTTCCTTGCTGGAACCATTGATTTTGTACTCTGTTTTCATTGCTGTTTCGAAATCATTAATAGCTGTTGGATATTTGCTGCATAATCTGATATTTCTAGTAAAATCCTGAGTCTGTTGCAACCAATGTTAAAACCCAAGAGGCTGTTTTCAGTCAGATTTGAACTGCAAAATGTGCCTTTTATAGTGTATCACATCCCTTAAGCCACTGCTTGACTCACTGGTTTTATTTTTCCCTCTCTCTTCCTTCTTTTCCAGATAAATTTTGTATTCCTATTTAACATAGTTAGGATTTTAATGACAAAGCTGAGAGCTTCAACCACTTCAGAAACAATACAGTACAGGTAAGTCAGCTGGTGCTTCTTGCTGTTTGTGGTGTTGACAAACAACTGCCTTGCCTGCCCTGTCCTTGTCCCATCTTTGTATTCCCAAACGCCACTGTTGATCTCAGAGAGTGTCTTTCTTGCCCCTTGAGCTCATATAGTTCAAGTATTTATTTTTGCAGGCTATCCGTAAAAGCGTGCCTGCATTTTTTTTCTGTCCACTCCATTTCAATGTCCAAACAATGCACACAGCCTTGGGCAGGCACAGACACACATGCGCTGCCGCAGCCACCAGCCTCTTTACCTCCTTTGGGCTTGCACATGCCCCACACACACGTGGAATTTCCCCTTTCCAATGAAATCTTAAGGATTCGATTCCAAGGATAAGAACTTCATCGATTTCTGTATGTGCACAAGTATATGTATTGTATTATATCGATACATCATGGCATAGACCATTCTTTCAGCTAATCTGGAGAATCAGTGAAAAACTTTTCAGTCCCTACAAGGTTGCTTCTCTGTCCCAGTCTCTGGCTTTGGAGATGCAGAATACCGTATCAAGACTTCCCAGTAGATCATTTACATATGCATATAAAGATTCATACTCATATTAATACTAATATCCTAACAGAGACAAGTAAAAGAAGAACAGAGCCTTGGTTGTAACACTCATATCATACCAGTAATCAATAGCAGTATCATTACTAATGGTCACTGTGCACATGCGGGTATTTACAGTAGGATTTAATGTTCTTTTTAAATGCAGGGTGTGGGAATGAAGGGCGATTGAGCCCTCTCCCTTCAGCTGGTACCAGCACTGGTCTAACCATGCAGTGGGTTGCATCATGGAAGCAATCTTTAATTAATCATTACCTTTATATGAGGTGGCTTTTCTGGTAGATCAGTCTCCTGAGCTGGCTGGATGTGCAACCTCAAAAGCATTGGTATGGCAGAAAGGAGAAGACAGGAGCGTTTAGCCCAGGGCAGTAGAAGGAAGGTGGACTTACAACCAGCAGCAGTGTGGACTTATATCAACCTAAACAGTCTAAAAGCAAATTCTTAGAGATCAGGAGATGCTGAGTGCTCTTCCTGTCTTACCATTTGCAGTATCTTGCAAGGAGGGCCATGGTTTTGCAGTATTTATGAACAGACAGGTCCTCACACTGGGAAATAGCAACGGTTTTATGAAGTAAGATTGGTTGCAATCCTCTAAATCATTTCTAGAAAGTATCTCAGTGCACCAAGCTGAGGCTTGAATGCTGATGTCCTCACTTGACTTTGGAGGCAGTTTGGCTGCACTAATGGGGTTTTGTTGTTTTACCTGATTCCTTCTTTTTACTCCTGACAGGGGTTTAGGGACAAATGTGAAGTTAATGCAGTGGACTGATTTTCTTGTTCACACTGTTCACATTTCCTGAGTAATGAAGGGGAAAAATACCCCTTTTTCATGCTCAAACCTCATGTCACAAAACTAAAACTAGAATGAAAACACTCATTCAACTCATAGTACATTTTCCCTCCTGCTGCAGTTTTCAGGGAGCATTAGAGATGTTAGATTTTGAAGCAATCTGAAGTAACTGCCTTCATCCTTGAACAGATGACGGGGATCTTATCTTCGCTACAAGCTCTGTGAGACAGTCTTCTTTTTCACAGCCTAAATAGAAGTCCTGGTAATTCCAGGAAGGCCTGGGGCAAGCCTTGCTGCTCTGAAGCCACATAGTCCAAACATTTGTTAAGCAAGTATTAAATGATGTGGCAGCTACTTTGTTAAGACTGTCACTCTGTCTTGACACTGGCAATGTTCTTGTGCTCCCCTGCTTGTCTACCTGCCTGTCTTTATCTGCCTGTTAAGGCATTATACGGAGATTTATACAGACTTAGCAGAATTGAAGCCTTCTGCGTTTGTACAGTATCTAGCACAATGAGGTGCTGTTCTGCAGCTGACATCCCAAGGCAGTTACAGCACCAGTAATAAAGATTAGCCCCTAATAATTCTGTTAATAATCACTTCATCATGCACCATCTGCTTGTTTATTATTTATAAGACAGCCCTAAGCAATTGTGCTGGGTGTGCAGGTGTTGCAGAGGGAGGGCGAGGATTTAGACTCCAGACAGAATCAAGAGACGGGAGCAGAGCAGGTCCCACAGCATTGCTGGCCTGGTCAGAAGCCAAATTGTACACTCATCACATCACCCTGGGAATGTGTAAGAGGGGTGTAATTCTTATACCCAGGTGTAAGAAATGACTCAGTGGGGCTGCAGAGGATCTCGAGGCTTCAGCCTAATGCAAGCCTTAGTGATCAGGCAGAAACTGTTCTCCAAGTGGTCAGGCACTGGTCAGAAAGTGTTAAATAGCAAACTCACCGATGGCTGCATCACCCAAAGTGAGGGCTGTCACTCTTGCCATGCTCCCCTGCTAAACTCTATCCAGCCTTTTGGGCATGGGTGTTCCCTAACTCCCTTCACTTGTGTTAAACACTCAGCAGAAGTCATAATGTGAATTTCTCTCTTAAAAGGCTTCTTTCCTCCAGTG